GTAGGGTTCTCATTGTGAGATCGACTGTTCCACCACCGCAATCAACGACGAGAAATGTATCTACGAAAATTAATAATTATCGTATTTGTTATTAAAAGGGGCTAAAGTGTATCTAAATCTGAAACTAAAACATTGTATTTGTAAATCAGGTCAATTGTTTTATTATTAGTCCAGCTTAACTGAATCTTTGCTTTTGAAGGCATCACAATAAATAAACACATTATTAAGCATATTTACAAGGGACTATCAAATAACATTTATTTGCCATGGATTATGATTAGTTTAGAGTTATGGTATACGTAGTTTAGGCCATGATATGCTTATTATGTGATTATTGATCACCGGGTTAAATTGTCCTTCAAGCAAGGGAAAGCTACGGGCACAACATTTCAGGTGCTTATGTGCACAACAAATGGCCAAAAATTAATATTCAAGTTAAGTTTGAGTTAAGATTAGGGCTTATATGCACAGCAATGGTTAGATTTATTACATGTGTATTGTGCTGTAGCTTTTGCCCTTCGCTCTTCAAATAACATGAATTCGCGACATTAAGATATGCTAATCTTATGATCTATATAAAAGATTTTCCTTTTCTGTTTGTATCACTTGCAAAGGCACCAAAATTACAAAACGGGAAACAATGACCTAATTATATTAACATTAAATAACATTTTGAATACCAACCTCCTTCCTTTAATTTGTGTTCCTTAATAACTGATAAGCAGTGAATCACTGCCGCCTCCGCTGTCGTTATGGAATAACATGAATTCAATTAATGTAACTAATCGTTAAACAAAATGTAAAAGTAGTACGAAATAAAGATAATTACGTCCTGTCGTAAACTCTAAGTGTGATTCGATGGATTCGTCTAATCTGTAATTGAATTGTAAGCGATAAACGGTTACAAGTTAAAATTAAAATTCATCATTATAATAAAATCTATTTAATTACAATCCAGCTCTATATGCGCAGTCGCGCATTATAGCTTTAGTATGTGGTCCCTAATGATAAAAAAAAAAATAAGGAATCGAGTGTTGTTAGTGACTCGCTTGTTTCTTAAACTTTTGACAGGTTAGTAACTTACCCATTCCGCAGGCACACATAAAACAAATTGTACTTGTGATAATTTAAGGCCTGGCCAACGCTTATCAAGTGTTTCTTTTATGACCTACAGTATTTAATCCGTAACTGATCAATATTCAAGAGAACTTACGTTAAGCTTAAAAGTACTTACTTCTTTCATCTTATTTAAATAATCACTAATAGCCTTTCTATAATCTAAATTTGGTGGCAAATATGGCTTGTCTGATGCATTATCGTCTAGAAATAATTTGAATCTTTCAATAGTATGGTGTTGCGGTGGAAGTGATGAACCCAAATGAACTAACGCGGGTGCACCCCAATTTAATACTTCGGTACAATCACTATTATATAACAATACGGTATCTGTTTTGAAAGAACCTTCTTTCCCGGGCCTAAATTACAATAAAAAGTCATTTAATTTTGTAATCGGTTCAATAGTAAATTATGATCTATCTGTAATAAATAATGATTTCAAGGTCACCATTGCGTATTCGTCTCAATTTCTTGAGAAATCTTATGTGTATAAGCGAAACCGCTGTTTGTTGTCCCAAAATCTTTTCATAAAAAAATATTGGTTTAAATGTCACTTTAATTAATAAATCTAATAAAAATAAATATCAGTAAGATACCAATCCCAACGACTACTCTTATATCATCCGACTGTTGGCGACGACGAAAAGAACTCATGGCAGATAGTTAATTTGATAGTGGAAAAACATGGCTTAAATTTATAGTTGAAAAACCTTGTGATGTATCGAAGAGTAGTACAGTAAGTAATTAACTTTAAAGACTTCATATTATTCCTGTTTTGTTCTTGGATTTCAACTTTTCATTGATAAGAGCTTTATATGGTTTTACCGGTGACTACTTTCAGATTCTATAAACTTTCTAATTAAAAGTTGTGATCATCTATCGTTATCTTTCATGGGTAAACTGTTAAGAAAATGTAAACAATGACAAATTTTGGTGTGCTAACTATGGTAGACGGATGATCTTCCGAATATCCGTGGCTGGGCGTATCGATATATAAAATAAAATAATAGATTCATTAAAAAAAATTTTTTTCCAAGTTTATTCTTCTAAAATGAGCCGACATCATTACTATCGCTATCTGTCATGGGTTTAAAAATTCTTACGGCGAAAATGTAAACAATGACAAATTTTGGTGCTATCTATGGTAGACGAATATCCGTGGGTGGGCGTATCGATATATAAAGCAAAATACACGTTACTCTGGATATATCGACAATTTTTTTTCATTAGTAAAAAAATTCAAAATGTCGATATAGTGAGTTATATCGACATTTTATGTTAAATTTTGAAAAAAAAAAAGTCGATATAGAAAGATTTTACTATGATGTCGTTATATCCAGATGTCGGTATAACCAGAGTGACGTGTAATAGATTCTTTAAAAAATTTTTCCAATATTCTTCTAAAATGAGCCGACATCATTATACGTATTTTGGAAGGTTTGGAAGTTATTTTAAATACTTATATTATAATATTATGATAGCACTATAAAAAATTTTAATTAGATAATTAGTTTTCGTTATAGATTATATATTTATAAAAATAATAGGACAGGGTGAAACCTGCGTTGATTTTGTAGATCAGTGTGGATACGAAAAGGGTGAAACTCGCGTTTTTTAGGTTACTTTCTTGATGCAGATCTATTTTTAATTAGGGTTAGATGTCATTTAGGTAGTGATGTGCATCAATAACGTAACCACCTCTGACGCAGGTTTCACCCTGTCGTAAAATAATTTATAATTTTAGTTTAAACTAGTATTTTCACAGGATAGTTGTAGACATGGAATAAGGGAAATTATAGGCATTTTCATAGGAGATATATCTCCTAAAACTCCTTAAAGTTTATTTACAGCTATTATCATAATTCCTGGGACGCCTGTAAAAATCGACCGAACGATTTTTCGCCCGATTCGGTTAAGTTTGTGATTTCGGAAATAATGGATTCAATAACAGATAATTTAAAATCAGGCAACTAATATAAATATTACAGATTATATGACACATAACGATATGTATATCTTTGGTTGAATACAGAATTATGATGCTTTCAAAGCAAATTCGAAGGCAAATAGTTCCAAAAAAATTTAGAAGACATATCAGTTCGAAAAATTGCCAAACACTTAGGTGTTAGCAAGCCTTCTATGAATCGGGTTCTCAGGTACTTTCAACGATATTGAAAAACTTCTATCACTTTCAAGAAAACCACGTTTACTAAACACGAATGATATAAAATATCTTAAAACTTTAATGAATGAAAAACCTGACTAGTATTTGTATGAATTACAATCCAAAATGGAACTTTGGTTGGGATAAAAAATTAGTCGCATTACAATTTAAACAGTTGTATTTTATCTATATCTATATTTATATCCGTGTTTTTTATATTTCTTGTTAAGATTTATTGGTTAACAAGAATAATCTTTTTCATAAATTTTCGTA